CACGTCTTGTTGGCTGACTAAGCAGCTCCACTGATTTTGATTGGGCTTGCTTGTACGTATGGCTATTGGCACATCTGTGCTGGCCATGGGATAACTGGGGTGACTCAGCTCTGCTCCATGTGGTTTTCATCCTTCTGCAAGTTAACCTGAGAATGTTCTCATGATGATGGCAGAGGTGCAAGGTGGCAAGAAACACTCAGACACTTTGTCCAGATCTGCTAATTTCCCCTTCACCAAAGCAAGTCATTTGGTTGAGCCCAGAATTTGAGTAGAAGATGACTACAAGGTAACATGGCAAAATGTATGGATACAGAAAGGGGATAAGTACTGGGGCCATCAATGCAATATCTGTTACAGGGGCTATTGTGGGAATATCCTAGACAGAATGCCTATTTTCCTGACTGGACGCAGTATAATGCCTTTCATGACCCCCTCTCAATGTGTGTAATATATAAGACATAGGCCAAATTCCTCCTCTGCTCACTCGCAAAATGGTCAAGCCAGCCTCATGCAATATTTTCATTTTCTCTGAAACGTTTTTTGCAACAGTTTTACAGCTGTGGGCTGATTATTAAGCTATTGTGTCTCAGCTCCAAATCCAACCTTCTATACTCAGCTTTTGATGCTGGGCTTGGGACTCTGCAAACCACGTCTATCCTTTATCAGGCAGGCGTTCTGTTGTATTCTTCCAATAATGGACACTAGAGGGTTATTGGAAAGCAGGAGGAAGGTGGAAGGGACTGGCTCCTTCCTGTTTGCTTATTGTTCCTGTCAGCATCACCCCAACAACATACCTTCACTCTGGTAACTACAATTGGTTCCAGTTCACGACTTCTCTGGGCTCTCCCAGAACCAGCCTTATTGTCCCCCTTGGAGGTATCAGCACCTTCTGGGCAGTGCCTCCATCCCCCTCACCCCGCAATGAGAGGTCTGCATTTCAGCCTCATGGCACTTTTGCTTTGAGCTCTTAAGGTTCAACACTAGCCAAATAGCATCCCTTTCTCATACATCTACATCTTAGCTCTACACAGACAGCCACTCTTATGAGTTCCTGAGTTACCAGCAGCATCCTGGGAACACCTTCTGCTCAGAGGTCTGAGTTTCAGCTCTTCAGGGCTTCTTCTCCAAGCTTTTAGCTTCTGATCTTCTCAACCTCTTCCCCTTGTTCCCTGAGCCCTGGGGGTGGTAGCTGCTTCCTGCTACCTATGTTACCTCAAGATTTCCTTTTTGCCTTTTCAAGTCTCTACCTCCTGTTTAACTAATTCTCTACATTAAATTCTCTGTTGAAATACCTAGTGTGGTTTCTGATTTCCTTGCTGGACACTGACTGGTAAAAGTTAGGGGACTATTCATATCTTCAGATTGGTTTTCTCTTTAAGAAGATGTTAGCACAATTTAACTGATACTGTGAGGGTGGAACTGAGAGAGAGTGAGATAAAATCCCAGGTGATCTTTTTGGTTTGATGCTTCTAGTTCTGTGAAACCTTCTCCTTGCCCTTAAGAGCTGTGAAGCAGCAGCAGGGCTCCGAGAGGGCTTGCTGTACCCAGAATTTTCTTCTGTAGGTCTGTTTTTCTCTCTGTTCATCATGCCCACCAAGCAGCTCAACTTTCATGGATAGCTGGGTATTTTTAATACCCAGCTCTAGTGGACTCTAACACTCATGCTTTTTCTTCCATATTGAACAGCGGCCTTAGGTGCTAGCAGTGCAGGTGAAGGCCAGGTCTTGAGGACTAGACAGAGAGCGTTAGGACAGAGATGTTTTGCTGTATTTTGAAATCGTATCTGATGCTTTGGACAATTATGGAAGAGAGCAATATCTGACCCAGAAAGGAGTAGCCTCTCTAGAATGGAGGTTACTGTGACCCTCTGCCTCCCTAATATTTTCCCTACAGTTATGGTATTTCACTGAATTTAATCTAGAAACATTTATTGGGCTTCTTTGGAAGCTTGAATGTTTCTGTCTGGTAGAAAAGGAGAGTGGTGGAACAGTAGGATGCTGGTAGGGAGTATATACAAGTGTACCCTGAAGATGAGTGCTATCTCCTCCCCAAGGATGGAGAACGTGCTTCTTCCATCATTCTGGTGGTTCTTGAAAGACAAGGACCATAAGTCCTCTGTCAACCTGGGTGCTCCAGGGGCAGAAGTGCTGCCCTCTTCGTGCTTCTCTCCTTGCAACTCAAGTCTGGCCGGGATGACTTCTGTGGTGTTGCACTCTCCTGTTCCAAGGGACATTGTAAACATGCTTGTTTATTCTTCTCGTGGTTTCCCCACCCCATATTCTTCCTAAGAAAAATCAAGAAACATGCCCCCCGCACCCCCCCCCCATGCATAATATCTGCTACACTCATTACATGTTGTTTCCTTGAAACAGAACTCGTGGAAAACCTAGGATATAAGTTGGCCTGGGGAAGAGGAGAGCAGTTTAGCCCTCATTCCACTCTTGTTTCCCAGGGGCTTTCACTGTCTTCTCATCCTGTCTGTCTTTCACTGGCCTTTCCTGGATGGTGTCAGACTCTACCAGCTACCTCCTGCTGTGTGCTATGAAATAACCATCCTCTGTACTAAAGTGCTCACATTCAAGCCTGAAACTCAAAAGGAAAGGAAATCCTCAATTCCATTATGTGTTTTAAGAAATAATCACTTGCAAGTAATTTCCCTTCTCGGTTTTTCTCTTAGAAACCTGGGTAGCCACATCTTGACATTTTGGTGATTTTTTTTTTAAGTAGCTACCTAATATTGCTTAAAATGATTGTTTTTCAAATTTTGTGTTCTTTTAATTTCTCATCATTTTTACCAAACAGCTTCAAGGTCCTTTTCCCATTTTCACAGAGGACACTGGCTCAGTCTGCCTTTCTTCCCCAACTCCTGCCATTTTTCTGGACCATAGTACAGTTCCTTCATCTCGACGATCTATCCAAAATCTTTGTTTATTGGTTGTTTGCCTCCTTCATCACTAGTGACATATTCTCCATCCAGTCCAGGCCACAAATACATGATCATATCCTAGATCATGACCCATAAATGTGCTACCTCTAAAGTCTTATATTTTGGTATCTTTCTTTCAAGCCATCTTGTTCCCTCTCCCTACACCCTCTACTTTTATATCTCATGATGACCTCTAGGCCTTTCATCTTTCTTCAGTTATTCGGAAGTCTCTTGTCTTCCCCATCCTTCACATGACCTTAGATGTCAGGCAGCTCAGTGACTCTCTCTCCAGTACTTCTGTTCTTCACCTGTACCCTTCTGATGATTAGATGAAAGCTGTTCCTGGACTAAGTGTCTCTGGAGAAACAGCACAACTGTGTAATTCCGTGCCCCTCTTCACTCCTTCTTCCTATATCAGAAAGAGAGAGTCCCTCCTTCTCTCAAGACTCAGCTTTCCTCCTTTGCTCTTGTTCCAATATGGCAACTCCTTTAATGGATCATTCTTTGGCTTTCCTCTCAACCCGTCCTCCTCTCCCTATTAGGCAGATAATATTATTACCTCCATTTTGCAGATGAAGAAACTGAGGTTCAGAGAGAAGTCCAAAACTGCCCCACGGTCCTCACAACCTGTAAGTGGCTGAGCCAAGAATCAAACCCAGGTCTCTCTCTCTCCAAGCCTCACATTCTTTCTACTCTGCAAAGTTTACCCGCATCCTCTCCCTTCCCTTCCATCTATTGCTCTCTATCTCCTCCCACCCCGAATAAACTTCTCTATCCCAATCCGCTCAGAATCACAGAAGTTTTATTTTAGTCCCCACCATTGCACTGCATTGAAATCAGTTGACTAACGGTTATGTCTCCTCTGAACTATAAAGTCCACGAGGGTAAGGAACATTTTGTGCTCATCATTGTATCCCCAGGGCCTGAAGAAGGGACCTGCCCTTGCTAAAGCACTCATCAACTACCTGCATATTACTAAGTCAAAGGACCCTTCAGTCTTCATTCTCTTTGACCTGTCAGAGGATTTAACACTGCTGACCACTCCAAACTTCATAGAACAGTCTTCTCCCTTAGCTTTGGTGAGGCCGCTATCCCCTTGTTTTCCTTCTGCCTCTCTGGCTCCTACATAAAAATTCAACCTTCTGAAATCTCTTACATCATCTACCTCTCTTCATCCCTGCTGTCGCTAATCACTTCCAGGCCACCATCCTCTCTAGTGTAATAGCCTCCAGGCTTGTCTCCCTCTAATCCACACTCTACTAGGACTGCAGAGTGATCATTCTGAAACACAAATATGATATTGCCACCTCCCTGCTTTGGACTCTTAGATGGTTACATCCTGCCTGGAGTAAGAACTCAAACTCTTATCATGACAGATAAGGCCTTTCATCATCTGGCTTCTGCTTACCCATCCAGCCCATTTCCTGCCATGCCCCCATACTCCCTCTGTGCTAGGGAAACATGGGACTGCCAAGGCATTCCAAGTCCACCATCTTTATCTATGTTCCCGTGCCTTTGCTCACGCTGTTCTTTTGGCCTAGAATGCCTTTTCTTCTCTATCTCCTTCCTCTCTAGTAAACACCTTATCTAATCTTTCAAACACAACTCAAATTCACCTTCTCTGTTAAGTGTTGTGTGTTAGTGATTGTCCCTCCTCTATGTTCCCAGAGAATTTTGTAGATAAAGCTATTATTGAACATTACATGTCTTTACAGCTTGCTAGATTGGAACCTCCCTCAGGGAAGAGACCAATTTTTTCTTTCTTTCTTTGCAATCATGGGGTAAGCATGATGTAAGTATAATAAATGTCTGAAGACTGAATGAGTGAGTGAATGAATGAATGAAAATCACATGCAGAAGAAAGGGGAGAAAAGAAAGAGAAAAGAAAGAGAGAGTTTACTTTGCAGTTGGTTACTGTGTAACTCCAGATGAGTAGCTATTCCTCAGAAAATGGATAAAAGACTCTCAAAGATGAATGCAGATAGCCAAAGCCAAAGTATAGCAGGGATGACTCACTTGCACATTTACCCACTTGATAGTGGGAGTGACTGTAGGACCTACAAGTCCCAGAGAGTCAGGCAGGAAGCTCCCTATACGAGGGCAGGGACTGGGGCTTCTCGGTGGGGACCTGTAGCTGTGCCCTTTGGAACAGAGATAACAGGTGCTGCCTGATTTCCTTGGCCCTGGCCCCGTAGATGACAGGGTGAACCAGACATGGGAGCAGCAGGTAGAAGGCACTGAGCAGGTTGTGCACGTTCTGGGAGGCTGTGCGGGCCACACGGTAGACGATGGATGAGGATATGGTGGAGGAGTAGACAGTGAAGATGACCAGCAGGTGGGAGCCACAGGTGTTCAGGGCCTTGGAACGTGCTTGACCTGATGAAATCCGGAAGGCAGCATGGATGATGCGGGAGTAGGAGGCTCCAAGTAGCAGCATGTCCAGGACTCGGTTGAAGATGCGGACAGTGAGCCCTACAGTCTTGTTTAGGGAGATGTCCCCACAGGAGAGCTTCATCAGGGCCATGTGCTCACAGGCAAAGTGGTGGATCACGTCTGAGCGGCAGAAGCGAACCCGGGAGGCCAGTGCCACCACTGGAGCAACAATGCAGGTGCTCCTGGCCGCTGCCACCCCCACCAGGCCAGCCAGCAACTGGCCTGTCACTATCTCCGAGTAGTGGAGCGGGTAGCAGATGGCGACATAGCGGTCCAGGGCCATGACCAGGAGGATGTTGCAGTCAAAGACAATGAGGAAGTAGATGCAGAACATCTGGAGCAGACAGCGAGGCAGGGAGACGCGGTTGAAGCGGGTGGAGAGGCTGAACAGCATGGCGGGCACCACGGTGGTGGCGGCACAGATGTTGACAGCCAGGAGCAGGGCGATGAGCAGGTACATGGGCTGGTGCAGGCTCCTCTGGGCTGCCACCGTGTGGATGACCAGGGCATTGGCGGAGATGATCACCAGGTAGAGGCTGAGGAAGGGCAGCACCAGGAGGGCGCGGGACTCCTGCAGCCCTGGGAAGCCCACCAGGAGGAAGCTGGTGTAGGACACGTTGGAGCCACCGTTGCTCCACCCTGACATCTTCCCTGGGGAGCAGGATGGCTCTGGGAGAGGGAAATAGCAGCTCTGGTGTTGGAACCCAGCCTACCTGCCCCAGCCTCACCAGGCTGCACTGGGTGCCTTGCTCTTCATGAAATACAATATTTCTATAGAGAAAATAGAGAGTTTTTTGTTACCATTTAGTGAGGTGTTTCAAAAAATAACTGTCTTCCATAGCCTCAACTTTTTGTTTTTCCTTTCTTTTTCTATAAAAATCCTTCCTTTATTTTTTCACTAACAAACCCTTATTGAGGACCTACTTTGTGAGAGGCACCATACTATGGGCTTGGAATACAGAATAGTGGATTGTGTTTGTCTTGAATGAGCTCACATTGTACTGAGCAAGACTGAAGTGACAAGTGAGAAGTAAAACACAGTGAATAACAGGATGTTAAAATGGGACTCTTTCTGCCCTTGTTTCAGGTGATGTGCTGAAAGCCCAAGAACAAAACACAAGGCAAGTACTCTTTCTTCATTCCAAACAGAGGTGGTGGAGCAGACTACATATGCTTGATTTACAGAGGGTGTGGCTGAAGACTGTTGTTGTGACCTTAGCCCAACACCCACTTATCTGGAGAGTATAAAAGGTTTGAGGTTGGAGAGCTTGGGAGAGAGAAAGCCTTTGGAGAGAACCGGCATTTTCCTTTTCCACATCCCATGGGGGATGGCAAGGAAGGGAACTTACTCCTTATCTTGAGCTAGAGAGAGGGACTTGTAAAAGATAGAGCCCTGAACCTAAATCCCCATAAGTACGTTATGATCTGCCACTTTTAGTAACCTATTAATATTAGAGTTGAGTGGAATCATTTGTTCATAGTGAAGCTCTTTGTTGATTAGAGATTACCTCTTTCTTTTCTTGGCATTACATCCTGACTATTTAACCATCGATTCTAGGAGTTTGACAGGGATTGACTTTGAGTTGCCATTATCTACCTTCCTCTCATTTTGGTGAATTGGTATTCTTGCCAATTTCTACACTTTCTCCATGATTGTATCAAAGAATATTGGGAGGAAACCATGAAAAGTTCTTTCAATAATCTACAACTTAACTTTTATTAGCATAGTCAGATGTTCTGTTATGATCTCTTTCCCGTCTTGGGCTTTATTTCCTTCTCAACTAGGTTTGTCTGCCTTTAATGGTTTCAGAGTATTTCCTATAATATAAAAGAAAGAATAAAAATGGAGATCAGCAGTTTCTCTCTATCATCTTTTCACACTGTATGATCTGACCAAGCTGGACAGAACCCTGTTTCTTTTGTCCTTTCTTTCTCCTCCTCTCTGTCCCTCTCTCCACCTTCTCCTCCTTTCCAGGAAGAATCTGGAAACTCCATTCTCCCCAACCCTGGCTGTATGATTATTGCCCCTTGAGGAATATGGACATCTAATCCTGGGGGGCCATCCTAGGCTGACCCCAAAGTATCAGAGAAGAGTGGGGATCCTGGAACTGGGGCTCAGGGAGATGGCCCCAGTCCATGGCTGAGGCTCACACAGAGGAGACTGGGGAATGACAGGAAGGACCTGCTCAGATCTCAAGCTATTTAGTGGTCAAGAACCACAGGGGCAGGGAGAGGGGAAGTTGGTTGACTTTATTCTTCCTTGGCCTCCAGCTGGGATCATAGGATCAGAGAAACAAGGCACCCGAGACCACAGACTCCAAGTCCAAGAACCTTGGAACATCGGGGTGGGGCTGCCTGTTGGGGCACAGAGTCCAGCCCCCCAGCGGGTGTGTGGTTCTCTCTAAGGTAGGCTGATCAGTGGGAGCCCAGCATCTGCTTCCCTCTCCCTCACTTTGGGAAGGGTAAAGTTTTTATTGCAGTCCATCCTATTTAGGGCACCCATCCTCTCGTGAGGCGGCCATCTTATCACAGGGTGGCCCATCTTAGCATGCGGCAGAGCCCACTGTTACAAAGTTCTCTGTGTCGAGCCACCATCATTCTCTCTGAAGCTTCCTCCCACTGCTCCTGGTTGTGCTCCCTGGAGCCACTCAGAGCCCATCTTATCTACAAAGCCTTGTCTTCTAGGGGAAGGTCTTAGGGTCAAGTGTTTGGATTGGGTTAAAAGTGATCCTGACAGAACAGGGTGCTGGGTGTGGTTTTCTGTCTCCTCACCTCACAGGAGACAGCACAGGGCTGGGGCTGGTACTGTGAAGGAGAAGAAAGGTTGGGCTGGTGGGAGGTCAGAAGGAAAAGAGGAGGACCCAAAGCTGAAGGATGCAGGTGGCTCCTGGGCACATGGGGACATGGGGTATGGAGCAAGACAGACCTCATTGTGAATCCTGGTCCTGCCACTCACTGTCTGTGACTCTGGGCAAGGGACTTACGTGAGTCTCACCTGTAAGATGGGAATAAACAATATTGGCCTTGCAAGATGACAGGGAGGATTAAATGGCTGAAAACTGTAAAGCTGATGAGCAGCGTGGTGCCTAACTGTTGTGAGGGGCCCGCTTTCTTCATGCCTCTTTTTGAAGTGGAAGGAAGTGGGTTCTGGGCATGGCCCCAAACACTAGACAGTAGCAGGGAGTTTGGGGACAGAGGAAAAGCTGCTGCTTTGGTCAGTGGACTTGGGGACACGCCCAGAGGTCTCCCTTCATTCTACTTCTGAATTTCTAGCCACAGATCTTGTACAATCTTAGTTCCCTCCTGTCCAGAAAAGGGAAGGTCTACCTTTAGGTCTGTTCCTCACAGAAGGGTCCCTCAGGGCATTAGCAGTCACCCCGCTGCCAGTAGATACCCTGTCCTGACGGAACCCTGAATCCTCAGGCATGCAGACTAGTGGGGTGGATGTGGCTGCATCAACACACGGAAGAGAAGGCTAGGGGTTGGGAGGGGTGGTGGTGATGGGAGAGGCATAGGCTGATTTAAGATCCATTTTTGAGCTGCTTAATGGGCATCGGTAGGAGATGACTAGGTTTCACTTATCTCCTTGGAAGAGGAAAAGGAGTAAATCGGACTCAGTCTGCCACAATATGGCTCTGGGTTAGACTCAGAGGATAGTTCAGAAGACATTTCCACATTCAAAGACCTTAAAACCTGGGCTTAGAAGCTGGGAAGATGGATACTCAGGGGTGATCCCTTCTTTCTCTCTGGACCAGAGGAGGCAGGAGCCTTGGCCAGAGGATTAGGGGTGACTGGGATGGCCTTGGAAGTCCCCACCAGCCCTCACTCCCTGGGCTAAACTCTGACCTTATCATCTTCTAGGTGAGAGCTTACCCTGGCTCCCTACCTGGCCAAGACCAAACTTTCTTACTTACCAGGACTTACGCAGGCAGGAGAAGTAGGTATAGGCTGGGTCAGGCCGGGCTCCTGGAATGTAGTTAAATTCACTCCATTCATCCCTGGGGGAACTCACAGAGCTTCCCAGTCCCCACTCCTAGGCTCCCACTTAGCCAATTACCAGGGCCCCAGGGATTGCCAGGCTGAAAGCCTGTCCCTCAGGGGTCTGTGGGCTGGGGGAAACAGTGCGAGCAGAGAGCAGCATCCTGATACAGATGTGCTGTGGGAACAGTGAGGGGCTTGTTTGGGGGAGCTGGAGTTCCACAGAGAGTAGTTCTCCAGATCCTCCCTTGACCCTCTGTCCCCACATCCTTTCCAAGTCATCTTATCCACCTTAGGGTTCAATCACTTATCTACCCTAATTACCCACATATCTCTCTATCCAGCTCTCTCCCTGGTACCCCAGACCCATCTACTTGCTTGTTAGAAACCTCCACCCGGACGTTCCACAGGAAACTCAAGCATATCAAGCCCTGCCCTGAAGTCACACCTTCATACCAAAAAGTTGTCATCTTTCTGTGCTCCCTGTGTTAGAGATGCTATCACTGTCCCTGTTTTCCAAATCAGAATTTGTGTGTGTGTGTGTGTCTGTGTGTGCGTGTGAGTGAGAGAAAGAGAGAGAGAGCGCGCGAAAGAGAGCGAATATGAATGAACATCAATCAAGGCTGGGAAAGGCATCCAGGGTTGCTCACTCTTCAAACTAATCCCTCGCCAAGCCCTGCCAAGACTTTGTTTCTTCTTTGCGATGCGTCCCTCATCTCTGCGCCCTCCACCACTAACTATCCTGTGCTGGGTAACATCATTTCTGGTCTGCTTATTGCGACTGCCTCTTTGCTGGTGTCTTTTCTCTGTCTCACACTCGGTAGGTGAGAGTGTACCTACTGAGCCTTCTTTTTCTTAGTCTCTGCCAACTTGGTAGATGAAATATGGTATTTCCTTGATTATATTTGTTGGTTGCTATTGATATTGGCTATTGTTTTCTTAAGTTTGTACACCTGCTGTTTTTCTTCTTTTGTGAATAGGCTATTTATTGCAATTTATAAAAAGGATCTTAGTGTTTTGCTTGCTTAACTCCTTCTTGAATTCTCAGTCTTTCCATAATAAGACTCAAATTCTCCAATAGGGCAGAAGGCCTTCTGTGCTATGCCTGGCTCTCTAGCACTGTTTCCTGTCTCTCTCTCACTTACGTTCTGTCTCCATCATTATGTTAACAGCGACCATATCATGTTTTGAGAATCCAAAACATACCAGGCATTTGGCCAGACATTTGTATATAATAAACTATTTTTTTAATCAATATAATTGATATATAACATATATTAGTTTCAGATTTACAACATGATGATTCTATATTTGTACCTATTGCAAAAAAAGATCACCATAATAAGTCTAGTTAACATCCATCACCACATATAGTTACAATTTTTTTTCTTGTGATGAGAACTTTTAAGATCTACTCTCTTAGTAACTTTCAAATATACAATACACTGTTATTAACTATAGTCACCATGCTGTATATTATATCCCATGACATTTATTTTATAACTGGAAGTTTGTAAATATCTCCCACCTCCCCCATTCCCTATCTCTCTCTTTTTTTTTTTGTGAGGAAGATCAGCCCTGAGCTAACATCCGTGTTCATCTTCCTCTTTTTTTTTGCTGAGGAAGACCGGCTCTGAGCTAACATCTATTGCCAATCCTCCTCCCCCC